TTCAAGGACGTTCATTAAATCTTCACTGTGAAAGTATTGAAACAAAACCTGCTCTTTACCAGTGTTCACTTTCATTTCTCTTCCTTTATGTATTTCTTGACTGGCAACCAGATGCTATCAACATTTATTGAAGGTGACCAGGTATACACCCTTGAAAAACAGTCACAGAGTGTTTGTTTACATTGCATTTTGGCGGCAACGTAAATTTGACAAGTGTTATAGAGGCAAAAATTGGTGTGTGGAAAAGACAAGGTTTGTCGCAAGCAAGGAGGTATGTGAAATTTGATGGATGAGTAAATGGAGACGCTTTATGGCGCACTTGCGCATCCAGAAAATGAAAATGGGGGCTTCGGTTTTTCAGTTCCGTGAATGAGAAATCAGCAGATCTTTGAAGCCAATTCTGGCTTCAATATTTGCCTTCTACGCTTCCATTTTTCAATGTTTGAAGCCAAAACTGGCCTCAAATTTGAGGCCGTTTTTGGCCTCAAAAATCGGGTCGGTCTCTATGGTTTTCAAGCGTGCTCTGGGATTTTTTTGTGTCTGCGCCCATGGAGCCCACAGGAAATTGGCAAAGTTTGATGCCCAAGGTTTGGTGTAGAATGATGGTTTGCTGGCTTCAGACTGAACCATCCAACCACAAACCTGGAAAGTCACCTGGCTCAACCAAAGCTTTAGCTGTGTTTGCTTTGGTCGGATGACGTGCAGAAGCCACTCGTTGGAACTGCAGGGGCACATGAACCGGTCTCGGAATTTCTGTCGTGTTTTTGACGCTAAAGTTGGCTTCGAGGAAAGAAGCAAGTTTATGGGTAGTTTCGATGTCTAGCATAGGTACCCTATAGCAAAATTTAATGTGTGAGGTGGAACCACGGAGGTAGTAGGTGTTGGGTGAGTTAGGTGTGGAAGTTGTGGGGCGGTTGTGAGGGATGTGTCAAAAGCGCTATCTTTGCCAAGTCACCCACTTCCTTGTCATCTTTTTCAATAGCTGCCCCCCCTACCCCCTAGACTCCTAACACATGAACATGTTGCGAGGGTTTTAGAAGAGACGTGGAGGAGTGAGTTCCCTGTATTATATAGTAGTATATATTTAAAACAGGGTGGAGGAGTAACTATATATGGGGGAAACAAGCGGAGGAGCATTACACTCCTCCACATTTTGTTGTTGTGTAAGAGAGATCATTCCGTTTCACAAACTGTTTTTGGTGTTTGTCTTGAGTAGAATTTAAGCGGAGGAGCGGAGGAGTGGTTGCGAAGATGTCAATTTTGGGTGTGGGCATGGGAATTTCATGATTGGTAGAAGTTTCGTTGACACCGCTTCTGGCCTCAAAACAGCTTGCAACTCTTTAGACCAACCAGAGTACCCCCTCAGAACTTCCTTGTAGATGTCCATATTTATGTTTGTTAGTAGCACTGATTTGCTACTACCAGACGGACCGATTATGATTGATCTAAAGGGCACTTTAGAGGCAACAGCATATTTTGATCGAGTGAATTCATAATTGATTTCTTTGATAGGTTGAATATGTGGTTCTGTGTTATTATTCATCCATCTATTAATAAAATTACATAGAAAATCTTATTAAATATTAGCAGATCTCCCATGGACAGAGTGCGGTAGGTGAGGCTACGCTAATCCGCATAAGTCGGTAATTAGTTTGCTTTTCAGCAATGGATTTTTTGCCCTTACAGTTGAATTCGTTTTTAGTGTTCTCCCAAGCGCTACATAATTAGATGGTGTTAAAACATTATTTAATTATAGTTATATATTATGACGCTATCTGAATATGATGCTTATATAACAGGAAGAGATGATATGGAAAAAATGATAGTGCTAAATATCCAAGTTTTAAAGATAATAAATTTAAGATGTCAAAATTGATAATTACTTATCTAAAATGTAATATACATGCCACCAAGAAAAACAAAAAAAACAAAGATGAATAAAATACAAATCCCCGAAGAGTTTGAACTATCAGATGAAGAACCAACAACAATAAAACTAGATGAAGAACAAAAACTAACAAGCAAATTCATTACCTTTGACTGTCCTTTATGCCAGGGAAAACTACAACTGAGAAATGAAATTGAAATCGACACTAAAGGCAAAAAGTGTAAGTGTAATCCATATAGCTTTAAAATCAGCAAGAATGATAAGATAAGACTATGAAAATTTCAAAAGATGATGGTGGATCTATTACTTTAGATAATATTGATAAAATTGATGAGCTGATAAAGAAAATGAACAGATATAATAATAGTCTTAAATTGATTTTACAGTTCTTAAGTAACATTGATGAAAAGACTAATGAAGGAGCATCTGAAAAGAAAAGCATAGGTAGACCAGTAGGGGACTTTGAAACTAAAAGGAAACAATATATAGAAATGTTGAATTCCATAATAATAAAACAACCTAAAGAGACCACCATACAATATTACAAAATTGATTAAGATGAAGATACTGAAACATACTCATGATAATATATTTTCTACGGCAACATATTTTTATGAAATTGTAATAACTATATATTTTCAGGCACAGGTAGTGTTGGAAGAATTGCTAAAGAATTTGGTTATACTATTATATCACTTGATCTTAAAAATGCTAGTATCAATGAACAACGACTTTGATGTTACTTGGTCATCCCCGCCTTGCACTGAATACATCATAGCAAAACAAACAGGCACTAGAAAAATTGATGAAGCAAATGAAATAGTGAAGAAAGCTATTGAAATAATAAACTATTTTGATCCAAATGTTTTCGTTAAAAACCCCCCCAGACCGGACTTTTGAAGGAGCAAGAATTTATGAAAAAAATCGTTTTTTGATATTGATTATTGTAAAGATGGAATGGCGTACAAAAAACGCACCAGACTTTGGACAAATATAGAAACTTGGACACCTAAACCATTATGTAAAAAGAACTGCGTACAAATGGAAGGGAATAGGCATAGGGAAACGGCACAAAGGGCACCTAGCAATAGGAAGGAAACATGGCCTGAAAATTTGAAAGCTATACATTATTTAATCAGAAGGAATTATACATAATCCCAGAAGGGTTGATCAGATAAGTATTTATATAATGCCTATAAATTAGATATTTATTATTCTAATTTTTTCTATGAGAGACCAATGGGGGATGTTCACCTGACCAATACTTAAAGGGATAGTAGCAATAGGTACTAAGGAGATGAAAGGTGCTAAGTTTGAGAATGTGTATTGTCAGGTGTGTGAGTGCAATGTGAGGAAAAGTGGATGGGGGAAGCATGAGAAATTAAATACGCATATTGAGAATGCTCAGGGTGGAGGTGAGGAAGTGGAGAAGAGAAGGTGTGGACAATGTGGATGTAATAAGGAATTGGGAATGTTTAATGAAAAGAATGCGACTTGTAATGAGTGCTTAGACAGATGGAAAAGGTGGGTGGGGAGGAATGTTGCAAAGAAGAAGGAGATTAATAGAGTTTGGAGAGAGGAGAATAAGGAGAAGAAAAATTGATATGATCGGGAATATAATTTGATTGAGATGTGGTGTGAGGTATGTGCGTACAAGGTGAGAAAATGTAAATGGAGAAGACATATTGAGAGTAGGAAGCATAAGATGGGTAGGGAGTGGGGATGATGGAAAAGATGGTGTGGGGGGAGATGGGGGAAGGATGGTTAGGTGAACATCCCCCCTTGGTCTTCCCCTACTAAGATATCTGAAAATGGAGAGAATATCGGATTCGCTCAATAGGATTACAAGATCATATCTTCTTCCGTATTTCAACACCAGTGGAGGCCGATCCTTCCAATCATTCATGTGATCCATAGAAATGTATTTAAATCGCATTCTTAACTATTGTATTTGGCCCTGGAACTCCCCCACAACTACGTTAAACAACATCTATTTGATCGGGGGTCTTGTGGAAACTACTAATTTCTGCATTTATATAATAATAAAATTTTATGGTACATAAAACCTTTTTTTCAAAAAAATAATCAAACAATACGAAATAATAATATAATTCCATTTGCTAAATTGTTTTTTTTACAATATTCAATTTACAATTGCTTTTTGCAAAGTAAAAAAATAAATATAATTCGATTTAATAGAATAATTCAGTGGCATCCGGCTATTTAAACATTTTAAATAATTTTAAAATAAAAATAAAAATATACAATCAAAATCGGTTTATATTTTAATTTACAAAAGCCTTTTGTAAATTAAAAAATTGAATAAAATATATCAATATCTATCTATGTTTTAATGTGTAAAAACCCTTTATAAACTAAAATATTAAAAATATACAATTCTAATTAATAAAATAATTAAGTAGCATCCGGTTATTTAAAAATTTAAATAAATTATTTAATATAAATATATATTTAATCAAATAATATTATAAATCAAAAAATAAATAAACAAAAATTTATTAATTTTTAATTTATAAAAATCTATTATAAATTTAAAAACCACAATTATAATTAATAAAATAAATTCAATCAATAAATATATTTATATATTTTAATTTTTTAAAGACTTTTATAATAAACAAATAAAATAAATATATATCGATTTAATTCATTTAATTTTTTAAATATTCCATAAATAAAAAAAAATTTATCAATTTCTAAACATATATTTAATTTATAATTTTAAAAAATTTTTATAAATTAAAATTAACTATTTTTAAAAAAAATATTTATTTAATTTTTTAATTTATAAAATACATTTATAAATAAAAAAAATTAAATCGATTTTAATTTATGGTTTTAAATATTTTTATTTATTTTATTTATTTTTTTATTTATTATTATATTTATTTTTTTTTTGAAATTTAAACAATAATTAAATTATATATTTTATTTTAAATAAATAAATTATCAAAATCTATCCTATTTAAATTAAAATTAGAATATTATATATTTATTTCTTTTTACGAAATAATACCTAAAAAACCTCGATCATATATATATATTTTTTAAATATTACTTATCATTATATATATAATAGAATATTATTTATCTATTTATTTATCGATTCAATTTCATGTTGTTTGAATCGACACCTGCGATATAAAATGATATATATAAAATTCAGAATAATTTGATTTCCATTACAAATATCAAATTGTCAAATACGTAAGAAAACCGGGTATATGCAAAAGAATGGTCAATAAACAATTTTGATCCTTGGAAATTGTTGCCACCTGTTTCGTTCATCCCTTTGCCTGGAACATAACGGCTGTTTCGACGCCTATGGACTTTTTACAGTCATCAAGCATCAACCAATTTCCACCATCGACAAACGACTGAGGAAAGTCACAAAAACATGGAAAAACATATTAACAAAGCCTTCACCAGAAGCAGGAAAAAGATCTGGTGGTTCAATATTTCATTGTCTGAACACTTCCTTGATTCTATCTGAGAATCACCAATCGAAGAAACATCTCTCTTCTCCATCTCCCACCTTAGAAACTCGGCAGCCTCATCTGTGAGCGTGACCTGAACAAAAAGAAACTGCTGTCGGTAGAGCTGAAACATCTGCTCAGAACTCGCAACTTTGATAAGATCGAATAAATGTCAAGCGATTTCCAACATCGAAACTGGTGTGAGCTTGGGTTGACATGACTTGAAACTGCTGGCATAAAGCATTCAGCCAAATGACTTGGACGTTATTCATGACGCTCTGTGACGAAATTCCCTCCCGCGCCAGAATAGTATCATCAGAATGGTATTCATTGATTCATCATTGAACCCAACATGCCACGAATTTGGCAGTTATGGAACACTTCCCGTTGTTTGGCCTGTTTGGGGCCGTTGTTGGGCCTGTTTGGGGCCGACTTGGCACCAACTTGGGCCTACGTTAGGGCCAGCATGGGACAAGTTTGGGAGCCCGTTTGGGATTGATGTTTGGTCCAACATGCAACTTGGGTCTGTTTGGGTCTCAAGTCGACGCTAGCATGAACACAACACGGGGAACTTGACCTGGACAGTGTTCCATCAATACAAACATTAGGGATCAAACTGGATGTTTTGGGGCAACATCTTCGGAACATGGACTCATGTTGGGGTACATCAGGCCCAAGTGACCCAGAAGTTGCGCCGAAGTGAGGGTCATCTTGGGCCAAGTTGAACCATGCAAAACAAAACATGCACCCCCCCACCTAAAGCTAGCAAAGCACATCAAAGCACACTACGTGCGATTGGGCCGGTTTCTTTCCTTACAAGTTTACTACTCCCCAGCACCTTCACCACTCGGTGTCGTTTCTAAGAATCAAATGTCCAACAACATCTCAAAGCCACGTTGTTGAGAACCTCTGTTACCCTATCCGCAGGTTCAAACAAACCCAATAAATCCAAAAACACATCCTCCGTGGGTCTTTGGACTCTTCCGCCACACGGCTGAACCAGTGTTCTCCGCGGTCCCGGATGCGACCGCGGCACCACCCGCTTTTCGGATTGAAGCCACAAGCCCCACTCCTCAACGGTTTGGAACATCCGTCGATTTCTAACAGCGGGCCAAGCCGCTGATTGAAGCGCTTCAACGAAAACAAACAATATGAGTCAGTGGGATCGATATGATTCAATATGGATATCAATATGGATCAATCATCTCAAGTAAACGCCAGGCTGCTAGGTTGAAGAATATCTGAAGACACCACTCAGCTGGGCAAGTTAAGCTGCTGATGGACTCTTGCTGAAGGGGCTGACTTGAGAGGAATGCTCCGGGGCAAAAATATTGCGCGTGCTTAGTAAGTAGCTCGCTTCAGAGGAGGCATCCAGCTAGCTCGCGAGTGGCCCGGATTCATCCAAGCGACCAAAACAAAAACACAAAACTATAGAACCGGATAACCCCACATGTTAACTTCACCAGACACAGGGGCCGACAATTGAAGGTTGGTGGGTGGCAATTGGTTGGTGGCAGTTGGTTGGTGGCAACTGGTTGGTGACAATTGGTTGGTGGCAGTTGGTTGGTGGCAGTTTGTTGGTGGCAATTGGTTGGTGACAATTGGTTGGTGGCACTTGGTTGGTGGCAGTTGGTTGGTGGCAATTGGTTGATGACAATTGGTTGGTGGCAATTGGTTGGTGGCAATTGGTTGGTGGCAATTGCTTGGTGACAGTTGGTGGGTGGCAATTGGTTGGTGGCAGTTGGTTGGTGACAGTTGGTTGGTGGCAATTGGTTGGTGGCAATTGGTGGGTGGCAGCCCTGGAGTGCACCAAGTGCTGCGCCTGCCACGCAAATCACAGCACCTGCAACGCAATTCACAGCGGCACAGCGGCGGAGACCCAGCCGCGCCAGGGCGTACATCTGACCCTCTGGAGTGCACCAAGTGCTGCGCCTGCCACGGTTGGTGGCAATTGGTTGGTAGCAATTGGTTGGTGGCAGTTGGTTGGTGGCAGTTGGTGACAATTGGTGGGTGGCAATTGGTTCATGACAATTGGTTGGTGACAATTGGTTGGTGGCAATTGGTTGGTGACAATTGGTGGGTGGCAGTTGGTTGGTGGCAATTGGTTGGTGGAAAGCGGGCGGCGGGAGGAGGAGGAGGAGGAGGGCGGAGCGGATACAACACTAAAAACAAAAAAACATACGTCAATGTGGGGAACAAGTTCTTCACCAAGTAACCAGGCATCCCAGCAATCATTCATTACACTTCTTCTTTCTTCTACTTGTTTAACGTTTGAACTTTGCCCATTTGGAAGGCCAGAACATCTGACAAGATCCCCTCCTCATCAGACTGCAGAGTGCTGGCATCGCCCACCACAATGAGGCCATAGCCTCGGCACATCTGTGAACACGGCGATGTCGCCATCGTTCGCCATGGTTCGTGCGGGACGTGTGATGAAGTCGGAAGTTGGAAGGGATTTGAAGGGGAAAATGCAGGGAGTTAGAGATGGATAGGGGGGATCTATTCCGATGGATATATAAAAATGATGAAACAGGCATCAACTTGCATGATGGGAGTCAAAACCAACTCAGAAACAGCACAACGCATCAAGAAAAAACATCCCCTCATTGGATGAGTTTGCTTTCTGAATCTTTCCAAAAGCTTTAAGGTGTCGAGGACACTGCTCTCACTGTCAATGACCAATGATCAATCACAATCATCCACAATCTGTTTTTGGATTTGGGTTCTTCAGGGGTCTCTATCGAGGACTTCCTTTCTTGGCATAAATCGACATCTGCCCTTCTTGGACGCAAAACACCGATTACTGTGGCGATGTAGGCTTCAAGAGTGTGAGTCCAGTGCATGCTCGGCTACTCATGACTCATGAACCACAGACATCCTAACCCTGTCAACTTCATGCTCCTGTGTCTCTGGAAGTTCAGATCATCTCCACAGATTCCAACACTTCGTAACTCCAATTGTACCATAACAGCAAAATGCAGGGGGTTACCGGGAGATGGTCCAACAAACGTGTGCTTGGCACAGTTATTACACTATACCAGTAGAGCTCCAATTGCTTCCTCAGGTGGTTGAGCCTTCCAAGCCCCAGTCCCACCTTCTCAGGAGGCAGTTGGAGCCCAAGGACTCTTATATTCCATCTTAATGAATCTAAGTCCAAGCCTTCTCTATATGATTGGTCTTATGGACCTTGAACTGGTTGACACCTGCCTACTTACGCCCCTCCAGGCTCGATTCTTGCCCGGTCACGCGCACGTGTGAGGAGCACGTTCAAGCGCTGGCGCTGTCCCAGAAAGCCCGTGAGGCCTGTGGGATTGCTCCGCACCTCGAGCGAGCACGGCTCGCGGCACCAGCACCGCCAGGCTAGCACGGCCTCTGACTCGACAGGCGGGTGGCTTGTAGAGCAACTAGGGAAAGCAAGAAATTGGAACATACATCGCACCAAAAACCATCCCAAAAACCCATGGGTTGGGGGTCTCCCAACATGTCAAGCCGTTTGGACAGCTTGAACATTCAGGAGGGAGACTGACGCCAGGTTGGTGGGCACACCCGGTGTCACATGATGAGAGAAGACTGCACTTACATCCGCATGCGACAGGTGGACACTCGGCGCATGTACCCCAATCTGGTGTTGTGTCTGCAGAAGGCCGCTTCTCTGGCTGCCCCCGACCGCACTGAAGATGATGTAGTCATTCTCGTTGCCCTGGAGAAAGTATACTTTCCACAGAACAACCCACTTGAAGTGGCTTGGGTGTGACTCTCACTTGGCAGCAGGTTGGAACTTGCAAAACATGAGGCTGAAAGGAAACTTCAGTCTCTGATGATTGAATCAGCTACGACTGCCGGATGGTGCATCCCAAAAGGGATCCAAATGACGGAGCAAACGTCAGGTCGCTCTGACATCTGGACTCTACGCTGGTGAGAGCGGCTTAGCCTGGAAGCCATCCACGGTGAAGGAACGTGGATACCTGAGCTTCGGTCAGACGCCGAAAGGACTCGAGGTCAGTACTGAGGTCACACTGGCAGCTGAGAGGTACCTGAGAGGTACCAAAAGCATCGAACACTGAGCCTAAGAACTTTGAAGCTTGTACACTTGCTCAGGCCAACCTCCAAAAGATGGGTCAAGGATACATGGGAAAAGACACAGATCGGAGTGAGGAGCCACAAAACAACATGTGTCCACCTTGTGCACCGGGAAAACACAATAACCAGGAGTGCAGATTCCTGGATATATTGTTTGGTTCTCTATTGAGGTTCATGTGGCTTTTTGAAGGAGTTGAAAAGCATAACGGTTAACACTTACAGCTCACATGTACAACAAGATCGCATGGTGGATCTCCAGCTTCCCACATGTTGCGAAGCACCCAGTGGATGGCTCTTCCGATGTCGGGGCAACATCGGATCCGCGAAAGCCCGAAGCCACACTTTGTTGCAGATGCCCTTTGTTACTAGTAGCATTCTTGTTCCTAGTAGTAGTGGCCTCCAACCTTTATGAGCGATGGCTTCCACCGTGCGTAGCTTCTTGTTCGTTAGCGGGTTTGGCTTTTGAAGCCGAGGAGTCCGCGAGACGATCCCCAAGTCTCGTGGATCCCTCACGTGGAGTATTCCGATCCTTCGTGTGTAGGGCATTTGTCTCAGCACACTTATCAGTCTTATCAGTCTCAACATGTGGCAGTGGGTCAAAACCCGGAGCCCGGGTAACAACGATAGGGGTGACTTCCCTATCGTTGTCTATTCTGTTCGTTTGTCCGTGGTCAAGCAGGGTGTCCCGGTGCGTCTCAACCCATAGCCATGTCTCAACCAACCTACTCCTCCAGTCCCAAGTGCGGCTCATCCTCCAAGGGGTCCAGCCCATGCCTTGGCGGTCGAGGGTAGGGATCGATGATCGCTTCGTTCACGGCTGCTACGGTGTGCAGTCAATCCATTGGGCTGTTGCATCGGGGTTTGGGAAATGAGTCAGATCACCCACAGTATTGGTATGGGCCAAAGATCTTGATTTGATGAAGGACAGCATCGTCAACTCCTTTCAGTTCATAGATCTTGCTTTTTAAGCGTCACATTTAGATTGTTTATGATTGTTTGGGTTGGATGTGTCTCCCTCTCGAAAGAGAATTTACAGAAGGGTGGAAGTTGATTTGTGCTTCACCGGCTCCTTTTCATCAGTTGATTCTCCAAGTTCTGTGGTCGCATTGGTTGGCTCTGTTGCCCACCAACGCTGCGGTCGACACGTGCTTCAAGACCCTGCAAGCAGACCTCCGACATCGTCCGACCAAATCCTGCAAAGTGCAGGTCGGAGATAAAAGAGATTCCTCTGTATTGACGATTTGTATTCATCCAAAAGCTTAACTGAACGACCTAGAGAACTTCTCTCTCTGAGGCCTCTTCAACAACAGCTGAACAACAGGCAGGCCTCCTAAACCACTGGGCGAACTGCACCCTGCAGGTGACCCGACCAGGGCCTCTGGCTGCCTGATCATCATGGACCTCCGCCGACGCTGCTGTTCCAGCTCCAGTACTTTCTTCCCATGCAGCACCTGGCGAAGATGGTTTTGACCGAGGCAACAAGCGGACTTCTTCTGTTGTAAGCCAAGCAGCAAAATGCTTCGGTTCGCAACATTCACCGGCGTTTCTCCATGTTGGGCGTCGCAAAAAGACATCGGGAAGTCTCCATCCCTCTCCGAACAGATTAAACAGCAACCAAGATCGACTTCTGGGAAACATCAAGTTGTCTCTTGTGGACTCTTGCGGCAACTCAAGTTCAGATGAATAAGATCCTGAAGCCGCCGAGTGATTCTTTCCAGGTAAGACTCGTTTCCCTCATCTCAAGCAGCGCACGGTTCCCACCGGGTTGTTGAGAGTTGAGACATGCCTCTGCCAAAAGGTTGATCTGAGCACCATAGGCGGAGATCACCTCGAGAATGGCTGAGGAATTTCAACAATTATTCACATGATTGACTGGTAACAAGCATCGCCGTTTCATCATACTGACAATTTAAGCCTGATTCCTCCAGTATATGGCAAGATAGCAAGAAATATACACTATATAGTCTATACATGTCTAGAGTCTATAGTATACTTACTCATAAGACATTTGGCAAGTATTCGGCTCTGAGGATGCTTTGTGAACTTGCAGGCCACGTTAGACCCTCTTTGAACTCATTCTCCCAACAATAATACCACAGGAGATCACAGGAGACATGCAGGCAATCTAGGCTCAGGAAGAACATGAACCACTACTACCAGCAGCTTCATTCTGCACCTTCGCAAGTTACATAGTGTAACAAACCCACTGATGTTGACGACGACTCTCCCGCAAACTAACGTGGAACCCAAGAATTGACCACTGAAAGACCATTTTCCTCTACAACCGAGTGGTTTTGGGGTTCCATGTTGATCTGCTGCGTATGTATCTGCTCAACCGACCGTACCAAGCACGCGCCACTCACGACATGGGGTTCCCCCGACACTCACGGCGGAGGTCGGCTGCACCTGGCGGTTTTTGTGATGCGTCGCTTTTTCTAGTCGGCTCTACCATGAACAAACCATGCTGCTCCTTTTCTGAAATAAGCCTTTCCACCCAAAAAAACAACAAAAAAGTACGTGTATCACCTTTCAGTATACCAGTCCTAGCACGGTATAGCAGAAATGTTCATTTGGGAAGTCTGGATATGTTCATGAACGCGCTGCTGAGGTGTGCCGGCTATTGACCTTGCGAGTGTCAGTTGAAGGTTGGGTTGGTTAACCAAACCATCCGTGTGATACGTTGAGATATCAATGGATTGGCTGTGCAAAATAACGAACATCCCCTCAATCCCCTCCAAATTGAGCATATGTGAGCAATACGTCGCGAGCATACACCCAAGGACGAGAACATCGATAATTATATTTAAGCAACATATGTCTTGACGATTCTTGACGTTCTGCAGCTCTGCAGCCAGGCTTTTTCATGATCTGCCCATACAAGTATATACCCCATGATTTTCGGTGCCAAGAACAAGCTTACTCAGCTGGTCCGCTGGGCTGTCGACCCGAACAGCAGCTTTCAGTTCACCCGGTCAGCCAAGACAGAGTTGAAATGACATTATAAGCTCTTTCTTGTAGAGGAACATGTCACTTACCAGGTGTTTTCATCTTAGGCCAATCATGCAAAACACAGCTGGCCCGCACTTGGGTCGCCCAGGCTGCATCCATGATGCTTTCACTTTTCTGGTCTAGACATATTGCAACCAAAAGAGCATGCATCTTCTTTGTCGCCTGCTCCCCATCTCTTGTGTGCGTGGTTGAAACTCTTTGAGGTTCAACGGTCGACGTATCCATTCAAAGCCTTAAAACCATCACGCCTTCATTAGTTGATGATCGGTCCCTCGCGTCGTCAAACATACGGAAACAGCCTCCAGGCTTTGCAGGAGAGCGGCGACCTCGGCGTCACAATGAGCAAGCACCCAGGTGGCGACTTCGCCGAGAAAATGGTGCGACTTCGGTCGTGAGTGGGCTCTGTTTGAGCCCTCAAATCACAAGCCAAAACCCGGCTTCGCCGGATCCATCATACTGCCGCGCTAGGCCAACATGACTCCAACAGTTCAGTGAGGGAGAGATGACTACAGTCACTGAATGAACTTCTCCGGTGCATTCCTATCTCAAGCAACACGTGAACGGCGTTTCTTCATAGATCATTACATAAAACACTGTAACATTAAAAGCTTCCTGACATTTCCTGACTAGATTTTGGATATTTTGGCAATCCTTATTTTAAAACCTCAGAACTGCAACACCCTTTTCCACCTGAATTTAAACCTTCCCACTGTGATCCAGCAGCTAAACATCCAGCTGAGCCCCGGTGCAATCTGAGCTTCCAAGGGGTTCTGCAACGACAAGCTCCCCGCGCGACGGACCTGGAGGTGATCCACCGCGTCTGTAAGAGACGCATTCGTTTCATGGAGCCAGCTGAGAAAACAAATACATTTTGATGAAGATTTCGAAAGCAACAATGGCTATAGCAGGTACTACCACTTGATTCCAGGTTCACTATCAAGATCTATCAAATTGTTTGCTACACTTCAAGCCTGAAGAAGAACTTCTCCGCTTACCGTGGTTTTGTGGGTTGATTGGCGATCTGGCAAACTCCGGGCCGGTTCTTGTGGGATGCGGAATCTGCCTCTTGTGGGATCCAGCGGCTTTCACAAAGACACAAGTAGCGCAACCTTGCTGCTTCGTTCACTGATAGTACTCAAGCCAGCATAGGCCCGGCAGGGTTGTGGTGGTTGTGCCCATTGTACATGTGAACCCCATAGCTCACACACACACATGGGAACAATTACAGTGTGAACTGCCCAACCCTGGCTGATTGACCTGCCCAGCTGTGGAGATGCATCAGCTTCATTCAAGCCCCAAGTAGTTAGAATCTGCGGAGCAAGTATCTTCCAATCCGGCGGATTTGGAACTTGTAAGAGTAAATGAAGGTTGAGACACTCCCAATAAAGGTTCAATCACCTCTGAGTCCAGCAACAATCTCTTCATGGAAGTTCTGGCCCGAGGTGTCCTGCACTCGAAACTGTGAAAGTAACGAGCTGGTGTGGTTTTGCAGGAATCGCTGGAAGGCTTCTTTGCTTCCTAATTCGCTACCAACGACTGATCTGTATCTATTGGCAAATCTCACCCAGCCTGTGCTCATAAAGAGCCCGCCACCATCCATCGCATCGATGCAGGTCGGGCGTGTGTCAAAATGAAGGGACCCCACAACATCGCTGGCCAGTTGCAAAATAAAAAACATGTTCATCCTTTAAAACATGTAGGTGGAAGGCCCTGGAAGTTTAATTTCACCATTCCACAAGCCTACGAGTCATCCCTATTGGCGGCAACCTGATTCTAACTTTAACAACTTGAAAAGTAAACGCTCCCGAGGATTCGATGACTCCATTCATCCGTTATTCCATTTATATAAATGTTCGCAACGTTTTCGCCTGGCCTTTGATCTACATCCCGAGTGAATTTGGAGCCCAAACCAGGTGAAAACACACAAACCACCCTGAACAAACAAGCCAAATCAGCAAAACCTTCACCCATCAAGGCAAGTGCCCCACCCAGCTTGCGCCAGCTTGCATCCCAGCCCTCCACCCACTGAGACCCAGTTCTTCGGTCCACAAAGATCACCGGATGCTCTGGAGGCCCTTCCTGAACGAAAACGACGCTTCTTCGGGCGGGCTTCGCAGGGTCAGGGTGGACTAAGCAGGGTCAAACACAAACACGTCATGATCATCATGTGCAAAAAGGCATGCGCATTCTTCACCGCTGCTTTGCTTGAGGTACCTCCCCAAAAGGGTTGGGTGGTTTCCCAATACCATAGGGGATCCTCAAGACTCTTCCTCAAGGCCTTTGGTGCAGCGGCAGCTAGCAAATTCGGGCCCATCAAAAGTGGTCTGAGGGGCCGTTAACATCCTCCAAGAAGAGAATCTCTACGTGAGAGCAGTTGAAACAGGCTGAACAGTGAACAGGGCTGGGCTGGAACCCATTCCCTCATGCATGTTTTCGTTCCCGGGACATTAGCAATATAGGCTGCTTGCGCAAGTGCGTTGCAACGGCCTTGTAAGCAACAAGCAAATTGGACACCAACAGTAACTCAGTCTCGCAGGCTCCATGTTTTGGGATTGTTTTGGTATCTTTTGATCCTCCCTCCTCAAAGGCACGAAGCTTTCACATCTTTCGCAGATCGCGGATCGCACCGTGTGTCGCCCATCTCTTTCGATGAAGCAACTCCGCCTTGAGGATGAATCCCTCGGGCAGCTGTCCGGGAAAACTTCGGCTTTCCTGGCGATGCTCGGCGGGTCGCGTAGGTCTCGCGTTTTGCCCGAGTGTGAGCTATACTGGGATTTGCTGTTAGAATGCTCAAATTTGCATTGACTATACATTCCAATATATATTTCTTTCTGCCAGCTGTGGGATCAACAGGTTTTACTCAAGAGATCCCAAGAGTAAGGTTAATCAATTATTGCAAAATACGAGGCTGCCAGTTTTGCATATGGAATTTTTGTTTTGACGAAACTTTCGAGCTCGACCGACATGGGCAGCATCGGGATTTCGAACCATTTCAAGGTGTCAAACCACCCGAAACGAGCACCTCGGATCGTGACACAAGGAAGTTCCGACCGTCATCTCCAAGGACCAAGCATGAAAAAAACAAACCATACAAAAGCTAATTCGTGCACAATCAATCCTTGTGCAAAGGCAATCCTCACTTTGAACTTACATATTTTTGTCTATTGCCTACGTAGAAGGCCTGCCGCATGTGACTAGCGATAACAGGTATTCGACATTAAGAATTAAATGGATGTACTTTGTCTTAAGATTTATCACGTGAACACAATGCAACTCGAATTCGGCCCCCCAAAACATGGTCACCGTGGTTCGCTGATCCACCCGATCCCAAGCAATTGAACCCAATTCATTCACCACTTCAATGGCTACTCAACCCAATGTCGTGGTTCCATCTAGAACTACCTGAACCTTGGATCATGCCAAACAGCTGGTGCCCTCCGTTCCGCAGTGGGTCTTTCAATGTCTTTGTAAAAATTCTCGAGAAACCCTTCGGAGCTGAAGCAAATCCTGGGGTCATTTGGGACCAAGTTCGGACTCGGTGAACTGAGGATGAACTGGACCGGCTCGGAGGGAGCCCAAGTCCCCGCACCACCGTGTCGGCGGTCAACAAGTTCCCGTCGTAGAATCGCTGCGAAGGATACTGGCCTCGGCCAAAACGGGGTCTGGGAATCAATTGTTGGGGTAATCAATCCGAGAAAGCCACAGAATGTCAAGCGAACACGAGATTTCCAGTGTGTCCCCCCCTTTTCATACTTTTTCAATCTTGTTACCGTGTCTTGTACCGTGTCTAGTATTGTCTAATAGTTGCACAAAAAACCTCTCACCCAAACGGATTGTGTAGTTGCCTTCTTCGATCATTCAGGACGCAAACCTGCACGTTGCAAACCCTACGATGCTGCGTTTGCTCCGGACGGACGCGCTGCAAACCGTATGTGTGAAGGCCACTCCCGACGCCACGTCTCCAACACTCGAAGAGCCGTCCATGGCTCCTTGCAAAGCAAGGGATCCATTCGATACTGCACCTGAAAGGAGAAGCGTTGTTCCATCGCTTCAAGAGCGAATGATTCAGGATCATACAGTAGTTCCGGATCGTCTAGATTCAATCGATGCACATCTTGATGTACAGCTGGCCACACTTTGAACTCTTCCAAAAGATCGTTGATTTCTTTGTCAGCTAGTTCTTTTAAATTTCACTGGGGAAAGCTGCTTTGGTGACATCCCGCCTGGGAAAGGAGGGTTGACGCTTGCAACACCTACTCTTCACCAACTGCTCACAAGAATCAGCGCCTGAAGCATATGCTGCTCTTCTTGCCTCTCCTGAAGGGCCTGCGAGCTGATGCAGTCGGCAAATGACCAAGCGATGCCACATGGGTCATTAAGGTAGAACTTCAGCCACCGGCTGTGCAGCAGCAACAGTAGCAAGCATTACCACAACCTTATGATGATGCACGCTAGCAAACCGTCACTATACGACTGCAGCAAGAGATCTACGAAACTATGTACCATGCCAGCTGTGCATCCCCTGATTTCGACGACCACGAGATCAACTAAACCTTCAACATGAACATCCTCAAGACTTTCGTCTCGGCTGGAGGATTTCGTTCAATCAATCTGGAAAGCTCGGAGCCATGAACGGGAAGGTGTTCTTTCAGAAGCCAATGAAGCGTCCTCTTGATGAAGCCCCCTGTTCTAGAGAGAAGAGCTCTCTGCAGATCGGGGCGTCTTAGTCTTAGCCAGCTCTTTTAGCCGCCTCGAAGATGCTTCGTCGTTCCCTGGCAAAGGGCAGCAAGCATTGCAGCTCCTCAGGCCTCAACGACTTAGGATCGAAGCAAAAACGAAGCGGTGATCAATCATCCAGAAGAATCACATGTCAATGATAGCATATCATTAGCAGCCAGGGTCTTGGAGAACTGACTATATGTTTCTTTTCTAGCCTTGTTCAACTTGCTCCATGTGATTCTCATGTTTGAGATTTCAGTAGACACACGTCAAGACTGTACCGGGTACCGCTCGGCAACTGTGGCTTCAGCTCTGCTGTATCTTCTCCAACATGGCGAAACTCTAAACACAAAAGGTCAAAAGAACGGAATGGACAAACATATATCAAACATATATATATATATTATATATATATATATATGCGCACAGCTTTAAAGAACAATCCGCGATTGAAAAGAACCATCAGTACGGTTAACACTTCCTGGGTGAGAAGAACGTCCAATGGTATCTACTGATTCCAAGGCAAAATGTCGTCAAGATCGGTCAATAACTACACCTTCCCTTCTCCAAACACGGACGCTGCTTTTTGGTGGTGCGTCCCTCTCTCTCCAGGCAGCCCTGCTTTCCCGCGCTGAGACGGAGCGCTGAGGATCCCAGCGGACACTTCGAATGGCTTCCAAAGCTTGAAACTGGCCTGGAAGCCGCGCTGGAAGCGGGGCGAGAAACATCCACCATGGTCATTTGGGTGGGGTGCCGATGGTGTTTTTCCACAAAACAACACTCCAATGAGTGATACAAATGAAACCAATGTAATTACTTAGAGGAAACACATAAAAGCCACACTCACGGCTCTGCTGTTTCCGCGGATGGAAGATACTCCGTTGTGGGCAGAAGACGTATGACCGCGCGACCGCGCCAGAAGCCCAGTCTGTTCCCGACCCTCTCCGTCTGAAACACCAACCGTTGATACAAAGCAACAACCCAGCCCAACCCTGGAACTATGGACCGTATGGACATCCCCCAAAGCACGGAAAACATGTAGTTCCAAGCACCTACACAATCGTCGAGAAGCAAACATTGCATCTCAGTTGACTCGAATGTAGTTTCCCCTCCCTTTACCATGCGACTGCTGACACTCTTTGCATCTTGAAGTAACCACCGGCTTCAAAATCCAGTCCAAGTTTTAGCTGGTGCTTTGAAGGAAAAAAACAAACCGCACCGTCCCCTGCCCAGTCCAGTGAAGGGAGCGCACCCAAGCTGCTTGGGATCTCCAATCAGTACCAGCCTCAGTGGATTTGGTCGCCGTGGATGACATGTGACCGCACGTGATCTGTGCGCACAAACACCTCATCGCCTCATCGCCACGTACCAACATACACAATTCCAACCTCTTCTGCATCATCTTCACCTACCCCACAACCTGGCGGCGTTTTCTCGTACCTGTAGTATGTACTGCTCAGGATAAAAACACAAAACGAAAGAAAACAAGAAAGAACAGGAGAACATGTTTGCTGCCGTCAACCCGTTGGTGATCTTGTTGCTGTGCGGTTCGAATCTTCTACCTTCCACCAATCCCAAACCCTTCCAAGGACCGGTGGATACCCCTGGAGTGAATTGCCCAACCAGGAAGTGTTCCTATCAGGGAATGAGATAAATATAAATACCGGTATACCCACACTCGACAAACCAAAACTAAGTTAAAGCACAGTGATGCTGGTTGCGGAAATTCCTATCCACCTGACTTAGGCGCCCGGTCTTCCTCACTTGTTGTGGCGCCTGGTCTGCCAAAACCCCGCGGCAACGATCAGATCCTCTGGGAACTCCGCTGCTCGCAGCCGCGGGTGAGCGCCACCAGTGCCTGGCGGCGGCCACAGTCCCGCTTGGCCAGTCGTCCACCTCGGACTAACGGCCCATGTCGCCTTGTTTTTGCTGGGATATTCTCTAAATGTAGATATGAGCGACCGGGGTATAAACGTTTGTCAGTCAGGCAACCTGCAAGGTCCTGGGCGATCATGGGCAAACGAAAGGGTAGCTGTTTACTGAAAGGGACTTGCAGATAATTTTTAATAGCTGAATGGGGTACCTGGAATTCCACTATATGATCTATATGGGGATGTTGTGTGATGGTTCATGAACTTCAGCAGGACAAAACCAAACATTTAAGCAACGTGCTCGGCTGACAGCTGCGATGGTCATCTGAGAGCTCCTTGGAAGCAGTGTGAGAGATGACAGTGACGAGAACACATGGTACTCCATGGTGCTCCTATTGCACATATGGACCCAAACCCGCTATCAGGTTGGAGGCCATCGCTACTAGGTTGGAGGCCATTGCTATTAGGATACAATTGGTACTCCGATTATCTCCTATTGCACATTCGAGCCAGATCGCCCATCCTCAACTTTCACTTCATTTTACACTTTGGGGCGAACTTGTTGGGTAGGCCCAAGGTGCGGCTCGGAAAGCTGGTATGCCATATTCTTGTGCAACGAATGTTCCACAAAAAACTCTCATTCAGCTCTCATCGACACCCAGGAGCGACAAGGCATGACACTCCCTCACAGGGCGAGAATTACTCTCTGGGAAAACCAGTTGCAGCAACAAATGAGGAACCCATCGCATTGAACCTGTTCTACCCTCTGCGTCTGTTCCACTCCTTTGAACGCCTTTGGTCGTCCGAATCCGGCACCGCTTCTATCAGAATGATGCCTCAATACTCGCCCTGCTTTAACATTGCTGCATCCGGCATCAAAGGTCCCATTGACCTGTTCTACCCTGTGCCACCCACCTCCCTGCATGACACTCCCTAACATGGCATGTGTGGATATCAACCATAGTTAAATGTAATTAACACGTAAAAAAACGTTATTCTATCATTATATGGTGGTTGTGCATTGAAAAACCTCGCCAGGTCATGATTTCCATTTATTTGCAGTTGAGCCATCTGCAATTCTGCGAACTTGAGGTCGGGGCTCATCGAGGAGAACTCGAGCATCTGTCCTGTGCCGAGCACAAAATACCGAGCTAGCGCGTTTTGTACCTGATGACATGGGAAACTAGTGGATCACCCTAAGACCTAAGATGTAATTACAAACAAATAGACACTCGGATTTCCTTCACCACTGGACAAATGAGTTCATCCTAGTTCATCTATCGTTTGACCTTGAATGCAAATCCACTGTGAACCGTCTCGTTCCAGCTGTCTTCGAAGCCACGCCTCTCGTCCGGCTCGGAGGCCATATAGACGGTCTCCACGAAGACGTCAGGATCCTCAGGAGCTTTCAAAGGTAGAAAGAAGGAGAAGAAGAAAGCACTGAACTCAGGCATCGCAGGACCAGTTGTTCTTTCTGGTTATGGCGTGAGCCGAGTTTCTCGCTCTCGGAACAGGTTGAAGAACATCTTGGGCCTTTGGATCCACTTCTTAAAGCCCCACGAAGGATCTACTGCCGCCACTACTGCTGCGAAATCAATGGAAGAGGAGAGTTGGCGTGTTTGTCAGGTGGTGTTTCTTGAAACAATCATGGGAGTGGAATGTAATTAGGCCACTGGAAGACCAATTGAAGTCATTTGAGGTCCACGTCAGCTTCCATGTTTGTTGGAGGGATGTATATAGTTCTCTTCTCCACCCACTTGTCTCGTCTGCCTCGGAAGCAGCTTCGCGTGGGCGATCTGCGCTCCGGTGTCTCCGAGATGGCAGGATCCTTGGGTGTCGGTCGCTGGGGCGCTGGCGATAGCAGTGCCTGTGGGATGCTTTACTTGAAGACATTTAAATACCGCTTGCTGGCGGGCTCACGTCCAAACAGTCAAGGCGAAAGCCAGGCTTCGCTGGTCCACATTTTTCATCTTCAAACCGAACCCACCTCAAACCGAGCAATGTTCGGAGCAGGGCTCTGACTGTGATTCAGCTATCTGACATCTGCTAACATCATGCTCTCCTTCACTGTCTTGTAGAGGACAATGAAGATTACATACCAGTTATTCCAATAGGAATGTTGACACCGTGCGTGCTTGATTGTTCTCAGGATTAGACAGACTCTATAAAGGGAGATTGCCTGGTGATATTTACCAATACAGTACATGACATAGTAATAATGGTGCCGCATTTTATCTGCTCCCATCAGGCCTGTGCACATGGATTGGTGCTTTGAAAACATCACAGGGCCTCCATTGCCTTTAACCAAAGCATGTCAAGAGATAGTAATCAAATGCCCAAACCACACTCTTGGCATTTTTGCTTCCAGGTTGCTGAATTACAGTAGATTCGCTGTAGGGATGTGGAGGAATGTCCCAACATCAACTCAATCCTTCAATTCTCCGATTCTGTTTCTTCCGAGTCCCCGTCCAATTTATGGCTGTGTGCCCCACTGGCGGCCCGGACCCTTTGGCTTTGAAGCGACGTTGCAGCACGTCCTGGTCTGAAGTCAGATCCCAAATGGTGACCTGGTCATTGTTTGTCACAGTAGGATACTCCATCCCTAAACCTCCAAGAACCTTCTGAGAAGGGGTTTGAACTGGGTGCCAGGAGTGTCCAAATATCTTTCCAGGAGGAGGTATTTGGAGCCCTAGGGCATGAAACTCCTGTTTCCAACTTGAATTTATGATGTTTAAGATTGTTTAAGCTCCAGCTGCTCCCAGAACCACCGGGAGCGGGGCTTGACCCAAAAATATGAAGTAGTTAACGCTGTTGGTCAAACTCTTGGGCGGAAACGTAACTGACTTTGCTCTTAAATCGGTTTGCACCAGATTTAGGATCTCCTTCCTCCATAGTTTTGACATGTTTTGACATCATTGTCAGCTGCAAAACATCCCAAGACCTTGAAGAAACCACGGACTTTCGAGATATTTGGGTCATGCCCTTGCTTCTTCGTTGGGCCACCTGAGTTTGGAAGCGAGACTTGCCAGTTTGAACTCGCCATGCTGTCTGCGCCATGGCCATGGATGCACGTCTAGGGTGAACCACCATGCCTCTTCCCACAACATTGGAGTAAATCTTCACTCCAAACGACCTGCTTCACATTGTTTCAATGGTTAATGATAGTAAACATTTCAGGCTATATACCAAGACTGACATGGCTTTGCGGTGGCTTGCCTGCAACCGCGACAACATGTTTCAACTTCTGGGTTAAGTACCTTCTGGGAAGGTGGGACTTGGGTGGGTGAAGGAGGGTCCAAAAACCTTCTCAGTCAGGAGGCACTTGGAGCCCTAGGGTGAATGACATCTCCTTACGGCGAGTCATCTTCTTTACCCAACCCCCGCTCCTTCGCGGCATGCGTTCCCGTCGCCACCAAGATGGACCTCTACACCGAGTCGGCTGCATCGAGGTCGGCGTCGGCGTGTCTTGGCCCATGGCCCAACCTGCTGGGTGTTGACCCGGGAGAGTCATAGAACGAACATGACACACCCAAACCAAGCATGTCAACCTGCCGCGTGGGGGCCACCTTGGGCCACCCAAACCAAGAATTCAGGCGGCAAACATCTGACACCAAACGGCGTATGCCGTGACTCGACTCTAGACAAGAAAAGCGCTGCTTGTTTCAACCGGCCCAATATACAGGTGTGTTGGTCAAGGAATATCTTTGGTACGGATCAACTTTAGATTTAAACCTTGGCACTCGGACGACACATGACGACACGCAATATGCATTCTGGAGTTGCGCCTATTCCGTACGAGTACTGCCAAGACGAAGCCCAACTCTCAGGCCCTCCACATCCGTCTACCACGCCAAATTTCAAGCTCTGACGGCAGAAACGACATTCTGCCTGAGCCGCACAAGCTGAGCACATGGCTAGCCCCACTGCCTTCTGTAGAAAGAAGAGGCGACCACAAATCTAGCCAAGGCCGCCTTGGTCCCCGTTTGCTTCCACGGAAACCAGGCTTTCCATGTGCAGTGCCTTCAGAGCGCCTGGTTCCTCACGCAACTCGCCAGCTGCCATTGCCCTCACCGCTGTTGGCTTTCCACATCCTTCCACCATGAAGCCCAGTTGTAAGATGTTATAAGATATAACCGCACTGTGACCAATGTTGTTCATGGCATGCTGCCATTTTCCCTGGATTGAAATTTTGCGATGTCCCCTTCGTTGTTCTTCCAGTGTCACCTTCATTGTTCTCCACAGGCTACGATGTCTGAAGAAAAGGCCGACCGTCCCTGCCAAAGACATCGTGGCCTGCTTGTGTACAACGAGTATCACAGTTGGCCTCAGGTTGGCCTGAGTGGCTGCCAGCATCTTCAGCCAAAGCAGTCAACATGAGCCAACACTTCCAGTAATCAATGCCACGTCCATCCACTTCCCCCTTTACAGCCTAGGCCTAGGCTGCGAAGAGCTTTTCCAAGAGAAACATGATGCACTTTGCTGCCTTCAAAACAAAAAAAAAAACAAAGAAGAAAAGTCCGACCCTTCAGCCACTGACCGACTCGGACCGACCCCTTCCGACCTCGAATCCGTGACCGACTTTCGCCACTCTTCCACAATGGAGACCTCATGCACCGGGCTGGGCACCGGGCGGGCAGCTGGATGGGTGAAGAATGGGTTGAGTAGATGGCACAAAGGTCCAAGCTCGGTGGTCTAGATGAACCCCCATACCAGTGCCATCTATGCTGAAACCACATTATCTAGACGTTCTCTTGTTTGGACGGCAAAGCAACACTCATTACTGTAAACGTTCTTCCCAGACTCTGAGCAACGAACAACGAATCATTGCCTGGCCTGTTTGAGCAAAACCCTAGGTGCTCCCTCCATGCTCCATGTATTTTGGCCACCTGCTACGTGGAGGGATTTGAGACCTTGTGCAATTTGAGTACTTGGGCAACTACACTCTAAGCATTATTGAACTTTCTGAATGGTTCATCCTGCTATCATACATTCTTCCGGGTTCCCAAGTCTCCACAATCGAAGTAAACCAAAGCTTTCTTTTTCAAACCCTGTCTTGTCTAATATCTTCATTAATCTCTATAGATACCCAAGTCTTGCTGCATCAACCTCAAATTCTAACCCCCTGGTAGATCCTTTACACGGCTTCTTTGCTAAGTGCATCGTCCCACACGATTGCTAAGTTTCCGCGCATGTGCCGCAACTTTGGACATAAAAAAGCACATTGTGTCTTAAGAAGGTCATTTAGGTATTCTTTCATATTTAATTGCATGCTGTATTTCCGCAAACAGACATGACCTGTCTGGAACTGGAAGATTTGCACCCCTTGGTTGAAAAGGGGTCAATTGACTGGCAATAATGGCAATATGTCTTTCCTAAGCTAACTCTGTCGTTAGACTTAGACTCCTGTCCTTGTCCAATGGTTCCTCTTGTCTCGCACGTCCTTGCTCAGTGTCTCGTTTAATCAAAATGGATCCAAAGATTTGCTTCCTAGATCTTCCCCAAAACTCAGGCCACCACCGCCACATCACCTAGGGCAAGAACGTGGCCGTCTGGGGGCCGACATGGGGTTCAACGTTATCACGAACTTACTTACGACTACGCCTCACCTATTTTCGATTGCATAGTCATCGATTGTAGGTTGGAGGCCATCGCTATTAGGTTCCTTAAAGTCTTGTTCTTAAAGTTTTTTCCAGGGTCTAGAGCCACACGGCAGCCACAGGGCTTCGTCCAGTGTTGGAGACCTCTCCCGCCCGGTCACCGGCGTGGCCAAACGGATGGGTCCATGCCAGGTACCATATACATCCTTATACCAGAATTGGTTGTTAGGGTATCCACCTCTTCTATTCAGTCAACCGGTCGGGCGTAGGATTCAACCAACGGCCATCTATGTGTCTCATCCAAAGTGGTTGCCAGGCGGAAGAGCTGAGAAGATCACTTTCCACGAGGCCCGCAGCGAACCGGGATCCCGAGCTCTTCCCGGTGCCCGGTGGCCCCTGCACCTCGTCTTGTTCGAGCTCTTGGAGCGAACCAAATGGGTGGTTAAAAAGGTATGACCATGGTGTCAAGCCTCAAAACGACCAGCTGTCTAAGGCAATATTGACATGAACTAGGCAACTACTGGATCGACTTGGAACATCAAGAGGAACAGTACAAATGTCGGATCCGTGTGCACAAGGTAAACAGCAGGGCACTCAATGAGTTGAGACCCTGATGAATTGTTTGCATCCTTTTGAGGCTTCCTGCCAGAGTGAGCTGCTGGCAGCAAGCATGGGCCACAGCGGCTTTCTGCTGCTCGTTGAAGTGCTCCATGCCCAACTGGAGAAGGAAAGAGTCTAACAAGACTGAACACTTGATCCAACAGGACCTGTTGGCTAAAGGCTGCTTTGTGTACTGGTTCCACATTTTGTATATCAGGCAGCACACTATCCCTACACAGAGTGGCTGCCACTTGAGCCAAGCCCCAAGAATGGTAGAGTGTCTTCCACGAGGGCCCCTCGCATGTCACCAGCTCAAACTCAAATTGTATCATCTTTTATTGCAGGGACCAGTTCTGGGTGTTTGGACATTCTTGGGTGCTGGTCCAGCGAATCCACTCCAAAGAAGCAAGTATCCGAACGCTATGTGGGAAATGCAAATCACATTAAAGAAACAGCGTCTGATCGATCTACATCTGATGCACATCAAAAAGAAGTCTCAAAGGGTAGTGCAAATCAAAATATGGTAAAACCACAACACATCTGATAATGATCGAAACGAAGAGAACACATCTGATGCATCCACAAATCTGATCATCAAACATGGGAAAAGGCAATTGTCAATTGTCTGATAAACATCACAAGCCAAATGAACATCTCCGCTCCGCCGCGAACACGACCGGGCGCCTCCGCTGCTCCGGTGTCGACTGCCCTGGGAGCCTGGGGCAGTCGACAGGGGCTCCAGTGGCCGAAGAGAAAAACCATCAATATGATAATCATAAAAATGCATGGTGATAAACAAATTAAACAAACACATAACTGCAGAAAACAACATGTAATCAATAACACATTCACATACCAAAGAGATGTACAACCATTCTGGAGAAAGGGGTTTTATTCATCAGTCTACATAGCGCAGCAATGCAGCAATGTGTTGCAATCGGTTGCAATGGATGACAAAATGAACCTTTGCAAGCCATGTATCCATTGTCATGGTGCCATCTTCACATCGTCGAATCATGTTGAATCCTGTTGAATCTGTTCACCACCAAAGCATGCGTGGGGCCCCCAATTGCCACCTCTCCACCCGAAACCAACACCTTCCGAGGCCAACATCGGAAGAGGCATGGCGCGGACGCGGCCGCGAAGCCAACACCTTCGTTGTTGAGAGATTGGTTCAAGAAATTCTGCAGGGTGAAACCACTTCTTAGCCCCATTTCTTTGCAACTCATTGAAGTACCACTTCTTGGTACTTCTTGGCCCCAAGGGAAGTCGTCCCCCCCTTTCGTGGCCTGTTCCACGCTCGGCCCAAAGATCAAGGACTCCAAGAATGGTGTGACCTTCCTCAGCGCGGCAAACCATGCCCCGCTGAACGGACTGCTTTTCTACCAAAAGAGCTGATTGAGAACCAACAAAACAACAAAGCATCAACACATGCAGACCAATGACGGTGGACATCATGGTTGTCATGATCAACATCGCCAAGGGTCTTTATGGATTCCCGCTTCAAACACTCAACAACCCAACACGGAAAAAGAGACACAATAACATGATGCCGTTAGGATGATCTCCGCCCAAGTGCTCCTCCCGCTGACAGAGTGCGAGGATGGCCTGACGTAGTTTGAAAGATGGTCGAAACGGCGAACAAGAAAAACCGGATCGCTTGATGTGGAGATTTCGTGAGGTTCCAATATATGTGTCATCCGGTAGGACATGGGATCGTGGGGGTCTACTCATGGATGCATGCGTTCTTCATGCTCATGCTCTCAAGGCCTGGGGACTGGATTCATCCAACATGTTTGGAGGTTCCTGTGAATCATATTGCTTTATTAGACCATATTAAAGATCTATATGATCTATATGTCTATATAGCATCTACATAATACATATCAATTTCCAGTCCAAACAGTAGTGCTGCCAAAATAGAGCGATATGGACACCCCCCACGTTTCCTGGACCATGCTTCACATGTCAATCAGGTACCAGGGTACTCCAAGTTGAAGAGCCGGATCACTTCGCCAAAAGTTGCACATGTTGCGCCTGCCATTGATTGAAAAAAGTTCTACCAGGTGGTTTCACCTAGCCCCAGAGGGTCCCTTCACCAGCATGGCGCCACGCTCCACCTCGCCCACGACCGATAGCACGGACTGAAAGCGGCACCGACCTTGCTGCGGGTGTCCGATGGGGGGGTGACCTTCTTCGATTTCTTGGCATTTGCAGCAAAAGGCCCAGTCATATCATCCAGTGAATACTTGCGAACGTCAGATCGCATGGAACTCCGGTTCGATTGGGTCATGGGTTCCCAGTTTCGGGGATGCGCCCTGTCCCCAAACATTCCATGCCTTGATCTGGCGGTCCAGCACCACTGGAAGGACTTCCACCGGCACCACCTGAGCGTTGAGCGAGCGGAGCGACCGTCCGGTGTGTTCGCGGTGGAAGAACGCTCATCGGTGTTGCAGATGCGCCCGGCGATCCAAGTCCATTTCCATCCATTTCCTCTGTGCCCATTTCCATCAAATTGTTGATGTTTCTTTCTCTCCCTCTCTCTATATATATCTATCTTTCTTGGATTGGCGACCATTTTGGAGGGTGGGCTGATGTGGCTCACCCAGCGACAGCCCGCGTCTACGACACGACGCGCGGGGCGGATCGATGTCTCTTCCTCCCCACCCGTGGCGCGTCGGGTCGATGAGAAGATCGCCTTGAAAACCATACCCTTCGTGAAGTTCGCAGGGTCTACATCGGCTAAGGGGTAGAGCCTCAACGGAGGCAGCAGGAGAAACTGGGAAGCCAGCATGAGAGATCTGTAGCGAGACACACACGCAGAATGTTGTTTGCACGTTATCAAACATGTAATTTAAATGTATTGTAATATATATATATATGTTTCTTTGGGCTTGGATGCTGACATGTGGATGCCCGCGGATGCCCTTCTCAAAGGGTCTGGCATGATCCACCTATACTGGGTTGCAAACTCAAGCTGATTGCTTGGGGAGGGCCTGGAGCCAGAGCTTCTGTGAAGATGAGGATGCAAAAGATTCTCAGATGGCTCCACGTCCAAGGTTCTTGAGGCTAGTGAAAGGACTACAGGGTGAGCCAGGGCTGGAGTCACAAGAAAGTGGGTGTCTTTGTTTCCATCGAAAGGGTGAACCGAACCTCAGAGAGTCGAATCGAAGAGGGGCGTCTTTCAACACATCGGTGCACGGAGTTTCGGCGAGTTCGGGCAGCATGGTGCCCACGGTGCCCCTGTCAGCTCCCTCCCACCGCTTTGCCTCGCCGAAAGCAGCCACACATCTGCCGAGAGAAGGAACACCGAGAGAAGGAACACCGAGTGGATCGGGGAGAGTGTTGATCCATCATCCATCCCCCACGTCTCTGACTCGTGACTCACAAACCATGGACATTTATGGACTTTCTGAATCTCTGCGAGGCACCACATGGCACCACCATGCACCAGCTTTGACCTCATTCTTTCACCAAGTGATCGTCTTTGTCCTTGTTTGGCTCTTCAAGTGGATGGAACGAAACGATGGGTGAAATTGAGATCAGTTTTGGCTGTTGCGTTGGGTCCCGATTGGCTGGTTCTCTTCACAACATGCTTCCCCAGCACTGGTTCACCTGGTTCACATCACGCAGTTCTCCCATCTTCGTCTTTGAACCCAGCTCCGCCCAGTTTCACGTTCTTTCGAAAGAACCACACCGCCCAACCAAGCCGCTTCCAACAGACGAAGCCCAGGTCGCCCACCGGATCGTTCGGGCGCCACCACCTTCTCCGAGACACCCAGCCTCGGTGAACCCGGGTGGACGGTGGTGGAGAAGGAAATCACTTGGAGCTGGGACCGTGTTTGATACAGGCACCATCAAGTTATCAAGCATATACTACAGTACGTGCTCAAAGTGAAGGAAAACTGAACCAGGAGCCGCAGTTGGGATGGTGAATCTGGACAGCCCGAACTAAGCTCTTATTTCTGGAATTCTGCCAGGGGAGCAGTTGGTTCTTGAAGAACCAAAAAGGCAACATGTGTAAACAATTGTGAACACTCACACCAGAGGATGGTTCATTGCATTCCACCCTTCTGCATGTTCCATGTGCCTGGCTTTTCCGCATGGGCTTGGCGGACACCTCTTCCATTCAGTGAAACGGGTCTCCCATGGTCTCCCTCAACGGTCCCAACGACCCTTTTCACGCGTGGGCAACTGGCACTCTTTGTTGGATGTTCAATGAGTTGGGACAAATCAACAGGCTGTGGGTCATGGCACCAGGATAGTTTGGATGACCTACCGACGTCAGGTCGTTCGCTACATGGACGAAAGCTCCAGGTTTTGACCCATCCCCACGTTGCACACATGTTCACGTCCCATGCCAGCGTCACATCATAGCAATGCGTCCGCCAGCGTCTCATGCCAGCCCACACGACTTTGTAGAAAAAGGCCTTTGAGGACTGGACATCCAGCTCTGGTGAATCCTGTCATGGAAGATGCACCACAGAAGGCTGGCGAACTGCAAAAGTGCCCTCACCAGGGCTCTTTAGGTGGTTTTAGGACTTAGGGCCTCAGGGCAGTTTAGACGTGCAAGGAAACGCCACTGTTTGGTGAACCCTGGTAGACCACTCTTGAACTCCGTTTGGTGTTCTAGTTAAACTTGGGCTTCCTCCCCCTTTGGCGGGTTAGCAAGCTGAAGTCCTGTTCTATGCAGGTTGCCCTATCACAAGTCTCATATCAATGGAGCTCACATAGACATCAGGAAACACAAGTAGCACATCTTGTTGCTGCCCGATTGACAAGTCCGATTAAAGTCATCAAAACACTGCTCAGCTAGGGGAACTCAAGAATATGTCCATTGCTCATCTCCCAGTCCCTGCCTTCCAAGATCCTCCACACCTGGGGCGACAATTTAAGAACATGACAACAATCAAAATACAAAATTGAACTTTTTCCAAACAATCCTCATGACAATCACCTGTTTCAACGTGGCTCTGTCACATAGATCTTAGGGCCTCGTGCATACAGAGGACGAGGAAATTGTGCAACTTGGCAACGGCAATGACTCTCCCACTTGAGCGGCAGCAGGAGTAGCAAAAAACAGCAAACAACAAGGACCATGAACTGCCAAACTCACTTATGAACCTACCCAAACCCATTACACCAAAAAAACTATCAGTTGATATTCACCTGTCCAAACGCGAACATATATATTATATATGTTTGATTATGTAAATTATATGATATTATATGCTATTGTTTGATGGCAAGCAGGGCAAGAAGCAGCTCACATCGCACCAAAGCTCGCCATTCATGGTTAGACTCTTGGATTTGAAGGCTTGTCCGAACCTAGAGACCTAGAACTCTTTCACAACGGTGAACATCTCCCTCAATTGTCAATCTTTCATCCATACTGCTGGAATATGCTAGAATCCGCTCGTTGTGTTGTCATCAAGAACTAGAGCAAAGCTGGACACAGCTCGCAACAAGTGCCTGAATTATTGGATGAAACTGGATGAAACAAGAACCTGAGCTACACGTAGCACCTGGTTGTAATCCCCACTATATAAACCATCCATTTGGGGGGCCTTGCTCACCTGTGATACTTGGTCTAAGTGGTCGACCCTGCGGGTCTAAGGTCCAGGCGATGGAGCACCAAGACCTGCGGTTTGGGATTTTACATCTGACCGTGAGACTTCATTTAGATATAGCGTTCAATGGATTTTATAGCGTTTATATGGTGATTGAAGATGTAGTTATATATATATATACACTTTATATATATAAGGTTTCAGCTGTACATATTCATTTGTGTGCTGGCCTGGGGTAGTGGGCAGTGATGGGCAGTGGGGTGGTCTATGCAAGAAGTTATCCACATGGGATCTCAGTTTTTCATCTCAGTTTGCGCTTCTAAAGATTGCCAGTAGTCACGTTTGTTCAACTGACTGTGGGGATCCGAAATCCATCTAAATCCATGAACACCATGAGCTCAACCCTTTCCAAGTTTGCACAAATGCCTATATCAGTATATCAGTACAGCATCCTACACCGTGCCTGAAGAGATGCGTTTGCCATCCATTTTTAGGTACGAATGTCCCAAACATAGACCTTTAGATCAAGTCCATCTGTTTGCAGAAACATTTGGGATGCCAACTGCCTGCTGCTTTGGCTGAAAGCTGTTCCTGTCACAGATTCTTCCACTCTGTGACGATCAACATGTCAACATTCCCGTGTTGAAAACCACGCCTCGTGCTGACCAGCAGCCCCCAGGATCCTCGCCTGGAGATCTTGTTGGTCTTAACAAGAAGCTACTAGGCGGTGGAGGCTCTCCAAGTTCTGGTTTATATAGAAGTCAAACTCTGAAGTTTCCTCCACCCCTTCAAAAAGTTCTTATCCCTGCTGTCTTCTTAAATGCGAACCCCAACATCTTGTGTGTTGATACTCTGTTTTGGGTATCATTGATACTTGGTTCTGGGTATCATTGATACTTGGATACTGGTATCAGGGTATCACTGACACTTGGTTCTGGGTATCATTGATACTTGGATACTGGTATCGGGGTATCATTGATACTTGGTTCTGGGTATCGTTGATACTTGGATTTTTGTTTCATTTATACTAGGTTGTGGGTATCGTTGATACTTGATACTGGTATCTGCGAAATAATTCGACATCTTTGAAGAATTTTGAACCTACACATAGAAACTCTGACCACCTCAACAATTATCCCCTTCATTCAATCCAAACAATGAAGTGAATTTTTAAGACCATAAACCACCCCCTAACAACTCCCCAGAACACATCAAAACCAACGAACACACATTGAACCCCAACATAAAATCATAACAAGCAAGACACTAACAGATCCTCCCCAGAACCATCCTTTCACAATGTTTTTCGGGAGCTGCAGGGACGGCATGTTGTTGATCAACGGCGAGTTCGCTTTCGATGTCGACAGCTCGCCTGAAGGACCTTCAACATCGACACACTTGTTCTTAATTGGTAAGTTTTCAGGGGATACTGGCGCCAAAGAGCGGGAGGGGAAATCCCAAACTGTCACAGGGAGGAAGTTGGTCTCTCACTACTTGTCTCTATGGTGAGTTTGCTGCTCTGGGAAAAGTTGAAACCAAGTGTCTGCTCCGAGTCATGAAATCTTCCCAGCTGGTGCAGCTTAGGGCATTCACTCCGACTCAGAGTCATGAAGTTCATAACTCAGGCAGGACTTGAACATGCAAAAGGACTTGAACTCGGTGTTTCTTTGGGGAAGACCAAATCCTGGCCTGCAACCCGTCCTCATTCGCATCCCGAAAGCAGCACCTCTTTCTTGGGCCATTGCAGCGCATTCCACTTTGGAATGGTCGGCGTGCGCCCAAAAAAACATGGATCCCTCTATAGGGGAGGTCCCTTTTCCCCCTGAGTCAATGAGGGTTGGGTGGGTTACTTCAGATTTTTGACTTCGAATTGCCCATTTGAATCCTTTTGACATGGGAGAAGCCGGGAATGACCTGAAGTCCACCCCCTCAAAGGGATCCACCGTGTTCCTGGCTGCGCAAAGAGAGCTCCCCCCATCTAAGATGCATATCGAAGGTCACCTCGATCGGTCACATTGGCGCCGAGCCAATACATCCTATAAGGTGTTCACTTGGCGCGGCACGCATGCTACCATTGTTACCATCCCACCCGATAAATTCATCGAAACTCGAGAAATCCGGAGAAACTTCCAAGGTCCCAATCACTTGGAACGACATTCGTCCACTGAAGGTTCGACCCTCCGCGAATGTCCAGGGGCACTTAACATGTCTGGGAGGCATATTCACATAGATGATCATAGATGTCTCCGTAACCCAAAGACATACACATGGCACGTTGAAGAATAGCGGTATGGTACTCAGTACGGTACATCGTGCGTGTTTCCTCACATCATATTATGACGCTCAAACATCTCAAACTCCAGCTACAAACAATTGGAAACTTTCTGGCGCTTCAGCTGTGCGGCTGTACCGGGATTGGTGGAACCCGAAATCGACATCGCTATCACTTCAAGGCCAACGACACAGTGCTCCCTTTTGGGATGATCATGGCTGATAGTGCAAGTCTTAGTGCTGTGGAGGCTTCAAAGGAAGAACATGGAAGAAACCACCACGCAAACGGATGTCCTATTGAGGGAACATGTTCCCACAGGGTTCCACCAGCTTCAAACACTCTGCTGAGGTCCATCCGCCCGTGGCGGCGACCGCACCGACTTGACACTCTTCGGTGCATCGACCCCTGTAGTCGATTCTTGTTTGATCCAAGCACTGAAAAAGACTGAACATATAGAGTTGAAACTTGATATGGGGATTCGCTTGTTCAAAGAAGATCCAAGGACTTGGCGACGTGACTATCAAAAAACTATGAATTAATGGGCTGAAGAGTGATATGCCTGGAAAACCGGATGGAATCGGGGATGTTCCAAATAGGGGATCGGTTGCCATGGATCGGTCTGAACTCCGGAGGGGTTCAGACCGCAGATGGGTCCCTGTGTGGGTCCTCCCACGAACATGGGGTTCTTAAAGAAGGACACAAGAGGTGTCTCAGACTGGGGGGCAAGCCATAGACATGGTCAGGGGCGCCTGCTGTCTGGCAAGCATGTCGAAAAACCGTGGTTCGATGCATTTTCAGGGTCTCAACCAATGATGTTCTTTTGGAAACAATCGAGTGGATTGTTCAGGGGGTCAGTTTGGTGGACCTATTGGCATGTATGCCCTGGCAGGTATGCCCTCGTTCGTGCCTTCCACAAAGTTCTATCTAGTAAACGGTGAATCGATGGTCTCAAGACTCAATCTGATTTTCCAAAGAATTCGCTACAAATGCTACAAAGCAACCACAGGGGCCTCGGAGACGGTCGTCAGGCTTGATCTGTCATTGGCTCCTGGCTTCGAGCGGAGTTTTTAGAAGGATTTGCAGGACATAGAACTCATTGTCTACTATAGGCGTATCTTTGGCTGGCAACATAGGTCAAGGGTTAGCTAGCGCCACAAGCCGATTGCTCTTCATCAATTGCTCTTCTCACAAACCAGAGCTTAATTTGACCTCTAGATTGACCCAGCTGATACCAAACCCAGACCAGTCTTCGGAGCAACAACGTTGCTCCAAAAAATTGGAGACATGCTAGATTTGGTACGAGTACAAATCCATACACTTTGCCAAGCAGCAATCTAGCAAGGCAGTACTTAAGGCCACACTGAGTTGACTGACTGAGCTTTTCACTGTTGGCTCTTCACCAGGCTGAACTTTGGCCTGACAACGAGAAAGGTATCGGATTCGTCGGAAGCGAGATGAAAAGTGCTTGATTCTCTACTGCTTTCTCTGTGTTTATGCAAGAAGCTTCTAGATTCTAGCTTTCATTGGAAGTCTTTGCCTTCCGTGAATATGTTCAATCGCTCCAATTTGACAGAAGGAAAACGGTAAACTCATGTCCATCGGTCAAAAGATGAGGTGCCAATGAGTCAACTGTTCGCCACTCGTCAAGCTTTCACCGGAGTTCCCTGCTCATTACAAGTTGGAGTGTCAGTGTGTCCCGTATTCCAATTGACATATGTGTTTATCTTTTATTAAATACAGGGAGTACCAGTTAGTCCTATTTATGGAGTTCACCAGGTGTCTTTTTGGACTCCTTTGGTGTACAAACATTGGATTGCCCCCATTGCGTTGAGTCACTCGACGGATCGCAACGACGCCCAGAGCGGCCATGAGGGTCATTCGGTGGATCGCTTGAAGGTGCTTGAGGCTACCAAGTCATGACAAGATGCTTCACAAGAAAGCAAAGAGTGCTCCAGTGGTGCGGCCTTTATTCTTGGCCATGCCATGATGGTCTCCAAATACGGCGCACCACACCATCCCACACGAGTGACTTAGCACCTGAATGTGTGAAGCTTGGGCGGGTTGCTGTCTTTATGGGTTTGGACAAATCAGCAATTCTCTATGTATCGTCCAAGGGTACCTGAGCATGGCGTCGACATCCCCCGCCTCATCCAAGCGCTTGCTCAAGACGCGCTGAAGGGGCAACAGCGTAGAACCTCGGAAGGGCTGCACAAACAGGAACCGGCATGGATAGGCAGGGCAAGAAGGCATACTTAGCTTGATCAGTCCTATTGAAGGGAGTCTGTTGATCTTCTGGTCGAAATCAGATATGTGCTTGTGCATTCATGTGCGTCAAAATATAGGCACACATAAGCTGAAGCTGATTCAAATCTCCAAACACGCTTGGACCAGGGTTAAAACTCTCCCCTGAACATGAAGCATGATGCACTCTCTCACGCAATCGAAGTGCCGAAGTGCCTTTGTCCCAGGTTGGGTCTCTACGACGAGAAGCTTCACACATGAATCAATATTCATCAACAAAAGGAAGGCTGGTGCCGGCCAAAAGCTGTAATCATCAGTGAAGTCTAAGGCACACCCATGGTTTTAGTCTAAGCGATGGTGATGGGTGTCAGATGCTCACTATGCTCACTCTCCTCCTTCCAAATGTGGCCCAAATCACGAAGAAGTCTGCAGCCCGGACATGACAGTGACATCAGTGACATCCGACATGTCCACAGTTTCTACAATTCTATCAAGGTCACTGCTTCACTGTTCACAGCAACAGTTTCAACATATCCACAGTGACATCAGTGACATCAAGGTCTGTCCCAAAAAGGAAGTCGATCTCTTTTGCGGGAACTGTTCATCTTCACTTCGTTCTTGCGACGCTTAAAAACAGCCGGACCCAGAGAACGCCAAACAGACCCCCAGCCGGGGGTAATCTGCCCTAATTACAGGAATCATGATTCTATATGATTCTCATGGCTCCAATTGGCTCCACTCCTTTAAGACAAGAAGCCATCTTTGTTCTTTTGCCCTGCTTGCCTGCTCGGTCGAACATGTACGGATCTCCAGGGCTCGGTAGAACCAGCGAACACCCAAACACGACAACTGGGTACTGCCTGGTTATTTGCCTACATTACATTGATCCTTCTTCATAGGCACCTATCATGTCCACCTATCATCTTACATGTCCACCTACATGTCCACCTATCATCCTCGGGTTACTCGGGTTTGGGCTTTGAGATGCGGCTGAAGATATGTTTGAGTCTCAGTTCACCTGTCAAACCCGAGACCCTCCCAGCAAGCTGCCGCGCCTCAAGCTGCTGCGAAGGTTGTGTGGAGTGATCTCTAAGCGTTGTGCGATGACCTCTTCGATTCGAGACTCCTCTTTCGAGCGCTCCAAGCTGTCAGCGGTGTGGGCAACACATCTACTT